GAACTGGAGTTGCAGAAGGTTGTTCACCTGGGAATCAAAGCCCATTCCTCTGCAAGAGCAGTCAGTGCTCTTAACCACCGAACCATCTCTCTAGCCTCAGGAATCTGTATTCTTTGTGAAACTTATTTCAAAATTAAGCAAAAATGTGTAAATACTGAGTTTGATTATCTGCCTAAAATTTTTTCTCATGAATGCCATCCCATGTCGTTGAGAGAACCTTGGAAAAATTGAATTTATTGTGGTTAACTTTGCAGATATGGCAACAGAGGCTCACAGAAATTGAATTATTTACTTGAGGAACATAGCTTAAATAAATTCAGAGCTAGGGTGGAACCCAGAAGTCAATTTGAGTGGGAAATTATTTCACCTAAAGGGAAAAAATTGATACAGAATTCTTAGATTAAGTTAGGAATAGTGTGTTTTTCTAGACATTTTTAAAAACCATTTTCTTGTAATTTCAGAAGCATTGTAATCTTGTTCCTGTATGTGGTATATTGTACAATTGCCACATCTGTTCCCCGAACTCAGTGTGTACTTGTTTTTCATCTAAACATTGAAGTTTTAGTCCCTTTTCTTCTTTTGCAATGCTGTGTTGATTCAGAATGCTCACAGGGTCCATGATGTGAGGGGACTGAAGGGATGACAAGGTTAGCTCTGGCAGGATTCTGAGTTTCCGTGGTAGCATAGGAATAAAGGATAAGATCAGAGGCTCAGTCCCTTGTAGTGTTTGTTAGAGTTTTCATAAGAACTTAGAAGAGCTATTCATTCCTCTTTCAAAATTGGCTGTAAATTTTTAGGTTCACAGTTGAATTAATAGTTATACAATATTGAGCTCAGTATAATTGAGATTGCTTTAAGAACAGATAACAAGGTCAGACATCCCGTACCTGACCAGTCCTCACAGGTGACCTCACCTGACTCCCACAAGCACTGGGGGAAGGGAGAACAAGGCAACACCGCCTTCCCGACCATCATCGAAACATCAGCGCACTGTCCTGGAACTCACTATGTAGACCAGGCTGGCCTTGAACTCACAGAGATCTGCCTGCCTCTGCCTCCCTAGTGCTGGGATTAAAGGGGGGCAGAAAACTCATTTTTAATGCTGCTAACACTTAGATGTTTGCACATGGTCTCTAATCTCTAAGTACCTGATTATTACTAGCCACAGTCCGTTACTTTCTGAGACCCACCTGAGCATGGATATAAAATCATCAGGTAGATTTCAATGGTAATTGTTTCACCTCTACTAATTAACATGAAGCGATTTTTATACTTCTTCCTCAAATATAACTTATTTTTTGTTGATTTCTTTGTGTGTATTTCACACAGAACACCCCAAACAATCTCATTCATCTATATACTCACATCCCAAATGGCATCCTCCCAAAGCACCCCCCTCTCCCTGGAGCCCATATACTCTGTCATCCCTGTTACTGTCCACTGTGTTGTTGGTGCCCGCAGCCGTTCCCCAGTGCTTGTCTATCTATTGAATCTAGTCAGCTTATCTAGAGTTAGAGTTCCTTGTTTTAGGAAGATCAGCTCTTCCTCATCTAGCAGCAATCAGTTGTCAACATTCCTTTAGATAAGATTGGGGTCTGCCATTCATTTTCCCAGTTCTATGCTGGATAATTGTCTAGGAGTCTCTTGGGCCACCCTGGCCAACAACTCAAAGGAAGGTATCTCCTGTTTGGCATTGTTGCTTCTTATGTAGATTTTAGCTATACACATGGACTCTTAAAGAATTATATTGATCCCTTTAATATTTGGTTATACTTTTCTTTTCAGTGTTTAAGACCATACAGGTAGCCCAGATAAACCAATTTATTTTTACTCTCAAGGTCATTTGAGGATTTGTTCCTCAGGGGTCACATGGACTTGGGAGTAGCCCTTAGCTCCTTTCTTTTACCAGTTCCATCTATGTGAAGATAAGTCAAAGGTCCTACTTGACCATGGCTGGCTTCAAAATGTTTCCTCTGTGTTGACCCTTCTCTTTGTAGACTGGACACTGATTCAATTCCATTTGGTGGGGTCTCCATGGCCTCCTTGATCAAGATAACAGGTGACACACCACAGTTACAAGACATTTTGAGAGATGCTCATAATCCCCTGGAGTTTAGTTGACCTAGGAGGGCAAGGAGCAAAACTGTTCTTTATGTCCCTCTGATCAAATTAGTATAGGCCTCAAAGTATGGCTGTTAGACATCCAAGAAGGTTGGTTCCACCAGTCTGGTACTTTTAATTACCATGTGCCATGTAGATAAATCTTAGGCAAAGACCAAATGTTCTCAGATAAGCCTTGCCTAGACATGTATTATATTCCTTGAGCTAGTTGTATGCATAATTTGTTAGTAGGTTATTCAATTAATATGGTTCCTTCTTGTTTTTTAAAAAACTAGCTAGGCATTATTTATCTCTCACATTGTCTAACCCTTCCACCATGGTTTCCCCATTTAAGGTGCCCCCATTTTTCCCATTTCTCCCTTAATAATACCCTTCGCCTATGATCACACCTCTCTTGAGCTCCTTCTTTCCCTTTGTCACCAAGTTTCCTTGTATAGCCCTCCCTCCCCTCTCCCCTTAAATAACACCATTTTTACCCATATCTCCCTTATTAATGCCTATTTCCTACTGTTCTCTTTCAGATTCTTTCTCTTCCTTTACCTCCCTGGCTCGTTTTCACTATCCTGGTTCTTGTAGTTATGTCTGGATACATATTCACTTTTCAGGATTTGGTGCTAGGATCCACATATAAGGGCGAACATATGTCATTTTTTGTTTGTTTGTTTTTCTGAGTCTGTTTCTTCACTTAGTATAATAGTTACTAGTTCCATCCATACCTGCACATTTCATGATTTCATCTTTCTTTACTGCTGAGTAAAACACCATGGTGTAAATGAACCACATTTTCATTATCCACTCATCAGTTGAGGGACACTTAGGTTGCTTCCATCTCTTAGCTATTGTGAAAAGAGCAACAACAAACAAATATACAAGAGTCTCTGCAATAGGATGAGTTCTTTGGGTATATGCCAAGGAGTGGTATAACTGGGTCAAATGGTTGGTTCATTTGTAGTTTTTTAAGAGTTCTCCACACTGCTTTCCATAGGGGTTGTACAAGTTTGCAGCCCCACCAGCAGTGGATGAGTGTTCCCCTTTCCCCACATCCTCTTCAACAATTGGTATCATGTATTCTCTTGATCTTAGCTAGTCTGACTAGGGTAAAATGAAATTTTAAAGTGGTTTTAACTTGCATTTCCCTAATTACTAATAATATTGAACACCTTTTAAGAAGCTTCTTAGCCATCTTTATTTCTTCTTTTGAGAACTGTCTGTTCAGCTCCTTAGACCATCTTTTAATTGGGTTACTTCCTTTCTTGATTCTTTGTTTTTTGAAGTCGCTATATATTCTGGATGTTAAATCTCTGTTAGATATGTTGCTTTTTAGTTTAATGAGGTCCCATTTGTTGAACGATGACCTTGCTTCCTGAGCAATTGATGTCTGGTTTAGAAAATCCTTTCTTACACCTATATCTTGTAAGTTATTGCCAATGTTTTCTTGTAACAGTTTCAGGGTCTCAGGCTTCACATCGAGGTCTTTGATCCATTTGGAGTTGACTTTTTGTGCAAGGTGAAAGATAAGGATCTAGTTTCTTTCTTCTACAGGCAGAGATCCAGTTTTGCCAGCAACATTTGCTGAACGTGCTGTCTTTCCTCCAGTGAATGTTCTTGGCCCATATGTCAATTACCAGGTGGCTGAAATTGCATGTACTCATATTTGGGTTTTCATTTTTGTTCCATTTATCTATGGGTCTATTTTTGTGCCAGTACCATCTTGCTTTTATGGTTATAGCTCTGTAATACAGTTTAAAATCTGGTATAGTAATCCCCCCAGGTTAGAAGAGGAGCACCTGTCTCAGTGAGCTTAACTACATTACAAAAAATAACTTTTTGGTTGCAAGGTTAGGTAAAAGTCATTAGTCCAGAGTATGTTCATATTGTAAAAGTCATTACAACAAATCTAAAAGCTGTGCAAAGGCAAAATAGTCAACCAGGAACCAAGGTGTTAAGGGAGAAATCAGGACCAATTGCAGTTTATTGTATTGACCTCATGATGTGCACCGAATCTGAACACCAGTTCTGAATTGTGAGTCAGCTCACAGTGGGACTTGCTTGTCAAACAGATCATCTGGGGTCTTATTATGAGATGGGATATGGAGAGCCAAGGAGCTGTAGAGAAACTTATATTTTCATAAGAAATGTTCAATGAATGCTGAGGGAGAAAAAGTTTTCTCCACGGACCAGCTTCCTGATAGCTTATCTGTTCCCAAGTGTTAATTCTAAATACGTGTACACAGAAGCACCGTAAGTGGGATCAGTGCATTATGTGTGTGTTTATAAATGTATATATGTATATGTAACAATAACCAGAGGATAAGACATTCAAAGGGAGTTGGGGGCTTGGGATGAGTTGGAGGGGGATTGTAGGGGGTGAAATGATGCAAACACAATACTCATGTGTGAGATTCTTAAAAAGTAAAAAGAACATTTTTAAAAAGAAATATTTATTTGAAGGAAAGTTGAAAATGCAAGTGTCTGAAAAGAGTAATCCATGGTTGACTTTAGCCAAGTATAAAAACTTGGCTTCAGTGAACCATTCTTTACCTTAAACTGGTACGAAAATATAAATAGTGTGTGACAGATTATTTTATAACCTGCTCTCTATCATGCTGACTTCCCCTAATCTCTTGCAGATCATCCATTTGCTGGTGATGTTGTCTTCCCCAGGGAAGTCAGTTTTACCAACCTACAACCAAATCATACTGCTGTGTACCAGTGTGAAGCCTCAAACATCCATGGAACCATCCTTGCCAATGCCAATATTGATGTTGTAGGTAAGCATACATGAAGGCTAACATCACCTGCTGTTTTCTGGAGGAAGATGATTATGATCATAGTCACAAGTACCAACTGAGGGTGTGTGTGTGTGTTTTCATGTATCCATGTCTGTGTGTGTGACATATCCATGTCATATGTATGTATGTATGTACGTATGTATGTATGTACGTATGTACGTATGTATGTATGTACGTATGTATGTATGTATGTATGTATGTATATGAGGAAGCCAGGAGAGAACTTCGGGTGTCATTGTTCAGGCACTGACTCCCTTTATATTGCAAGTAGTGTTTGTCATTGGTCTGGAACTTACCAAGTAGACTAGGCTTGTCAGTGAGCCTCAAGGATCCACCTGTCTCTACCTCCCAATTGCTGTGGAATTACAAGCATGCATCACTATGCTTGGTTTTTTACTTTGATATAGGCTCTGGGGATAGAACTTAGGTCTTAATGCTTACACAGGAAGCTCTTTACAGGTGAAGCTATTTCTTCAACCCCAAGTATCAACTGAATTCTTGACACATAAAGCATGAGGAAGAAAGTCAAAACACGATGACTTTACAAATGCACATTGGACTTCATACAGAAATTATGCTTACACATATGCTCAATTTAGATACTATCAAAAGTCAAGAATATGTATTTTAATGTTAAACAGCCTTCCATTTTTATTAATATGTCAAAGATATAGAAAAATGTACTTTGTAGGTAATAGTTGCATAAGGATTTAAAAACTTGTTTTATTTTCTAACAGATGTTCTTCCACTGATTCAAACTAAAGATGAAGAAAATTATGCCACTGTGGTTGGGCAGAGTGCTTTCTTACACTGTGAATTCTTTGCTTCGCCTCAGGCAATAGTAACTTGGTAAGCTGCCTTGCTGATCCCTTAAGGGAATGCAAAGATTTCTCTGTCCATCATTTGACAGTCTGTACCATGTCTGTCTTGCTTCATGGAGCAGTTGTCCCTGAGAAATAAGGAAAGAAACTTAATTTCTTGCAATCATTTTCCGTGATTCTAAGATTTTCTCCCATGAGGAAATACAGAGAAATTTGTTTTCATAGTAAAAACAATGGATTGAAATGATTATTGAGGTAATTGCAGAGGTACATTTGGTTTTCAGTGATGGAGATATCTAAGGTCATGAATACCCAATTGCTGTTGCTTCCAGTCTACAGTCAGTTATAAACATATATGTCCATTTTGATTTTAGTTGTAATAATGTTATTTTGCTGTAAGTCTGAAGACTCATATGTGTGTATTGGTTTGGCTACTTTACTGATAAAACTTGGTTAATCTACTGTTAAATCATTGTCCATTGCTCTGCGGGGCTTGAAGAAGGGGGAGACAAGTTTAGCCAGGTCATACCAATTTAAAGTCAAAATCTGATTCTAATCAACTTGTGATGTTTTATTTATTGCGTGTTTTTTCACTGTTAAAAATATTCTATTAAAACATTTATTTGCTTACTGAAATGCTTAACATCCATTTACATGGGAAGAAAGTCCCTTGCTTTACTCAGCCTAGTCTCTGCTTTTTAAAATCCTGGGCAAGCTCAAGCAGTCACTTACTGTGAACTATACAGGGTTAATCAAGCTGTGTCAGGAAATGCCTGGAAAATGGATAAATGTTGCAGAAAATGACTCTGGGGTCTATAGGGTAAGTGCAATCCATGCCCACAGAAGAGGCTTCTAATATCTCTGAATGACCAATGTTCTCTTAGAACAACGGAGGTTAGGAAGGCTCATTATCTCTTTCAATTACTTGCTTTCCCATTTGCTACCTTGGAGGAATCATTAACTATAGAGTTCACTATCAATAAACCAGAAAATATTTCTTAAGCTATGAGGACACACACAAAACAACGAGAAAGGAGAGAGAGAGAGAGAGAGAGAGAGAGAGAGAGAGAGAGAGAGAAACAGCCTAGAGTGGGGATTGGATTTCCTTTACTTGAAGTGTCTTGGTCAGCTTGGATATACATCCTGACCAATTCTGAGAGATATTAAGCAAACTAGAGCGGAATATTTCAAAAATTATACTAAACTTCTGAGGAAAGGATGAGCCTGGATGATGTTAGTGAACTATATGCAGAGTGTAAAACTGTGTCATGATGTTAATGGACTCATTCCTGTTTCTCCACAGGGAGACAGCGGATGAAGCACAGCCCCTCGAAGGAAGGCGGTACCATATCTACAGAAACGGCACACTGCAAATCAACAGTAGCAGTGAGGAAGATGCGGGGTCGTACTCCTGTTGGGTAGAAAATGCGATCGGAAAAGCTGCCGTCACAGCTAACTTGGATATTAGAAGTATTGCCATTTCACTTTTATTTTGCATCAATTCTCATATTGGCTCAGACTGTCTTCATTTTCCCAAATGAAACAATGTGCTTGAAGTTTGATGACCATTTAAAATTCTTTTGATAGTTTTTCAGAAGTCCTCCATTTTATTTTATCTAAAAGACTATTGCTGGCATGGCAGGGTATAAGGTACATGGTTTGGGCAGCTATGTACCCTTGGTGATGGATAACCATCATTGTCTTAAAAAATCCATATTCTGAAGTACTTTTGAATTTATACTTTATATCACTAGTAAACTCTGGTGGTACCACTAGTCCTCAGTTTTGTTCTAAGCATTTCATAGAATTTCAGCGTCATAAAGAATGCAACATGACAGGTTGGAGATACGTGTTTGTTCTCTTTTTAAATCCTAACTTTGTTAACCTTCCCTCTTCCAGGAACTCCTAGGAATCTCCAATAATCTCAGACTTCGCTGACATTTTATATTAACATTTCTTCGTTGTTATTATTACCAATTTAGTCTTGCTCTAGACTTTTACTCTCTAAAACTTATTCAACAAGGAATTTTTCAAGTATATATGAAGTGTTTACTGCATACACAATTCCTCTCTAACCCCTGGGAGTTTGGCTGTGTAACAAAGCAGGTGCAGTCCTATGTTGGTCAAGTTTACTGCATAATTCTGCCCTTTTGTGTCCATAGTACATCTGTGCAAGGGAGTCACTGCTTTGCTCAGGTTTATGAATTAATGATAAGCATGCTGATAGAAAATCACCTTTCCCATTTTTATTAAAATACAGTGATTATATATTTGGAAACACTAAATGGAGAAATCAGGCTATTTTCTAATTCCAAAGACACTTGTTAGCTCACGTGCTTATTATTTCCTTTGTCAAAGAACAGTAAGAAAAACTGTTAATGTATTAATTGCTACTTCACATAAAGTTTATCAGATTTCCAGTCTTCATAGAAAAAAATTGCAGTGGGACAAATATTATGTGTGGATTTGACTGTGATGATGAAGATAATTTTTGTTTATTCAACTGCAGCTTTTTGATAACAAAGGGAGCCATGCTCTGTAGTTCTAATATCTTTGCTTGATTAAAACAAATACAGATGCTACAAAACTCAGAGTTTATCCTAAGGATCCTCGCGTCCCTAAATCACATGTGCTTGAGTTACACTGTGAGAGCAAATGTGACTCACATTTGAAACCCAGTTTGAAGCTGTCCTGGAGGAAGGATGGAGAAGCCTTTGAAATCAATGGCACTGAAGATGGCAGGTGTGTAAACTCTTCCAAAAGCTGGTTGTGTCTGTATATGGACATAACAGATTGTGTTAGAAATAGCCCTAAAATTATCCACAGTGCACTAAAACGCAAAAACTGACTAATATATATCAGTCCTCAAGGCACTTCTTCCATTTTCCTGTGAAGTTTTCCTTGGTTTTGCTATTTATTTGTTTAGAAAACATGTCCCATCATCTCAGAGCAGGAAACAGAAGCCCACTCCAGGTATTAGAGGCAGGTAGATTAACTGAATAGATTTAGGAGTTTTCAAAAACACTGGAAAGACTGGAAAAGCATGTTGTGGGCATTCTCACTATTGTTTTGGGTTCTTCCTCATCAGTGAGCCACGTGTCAGAAAACTGCTGCCATCTCCAAGGGCACCTCACTCCACTGGTGTACTGGAGGGTCCAAACACCCTTAACGGGTGTCTCTGTTCACACTGCACTTTAAATAGGCAGTGATCACACCCTTCTACCTTCCAGTCTCATATGACTCCTTATGCACACACCCTCAGTTATACCTGATACTCAGCCTGTTAGAGAATGTATTGGTAACAGCAGTCTGCCCTTCGTATCTGTGATGATAGTGTCTTAAATCCCAAGCAGATGTGAAAATCTGTGGGTGGTCAAACCCCTCCCAAAAATGATGTCATATTTAAACTTCACTTTTTCAGTTATGTTTTAAGTCACCTGTATATTGTTTATGAAGCCCAGCTCAAAAAGAATGCTAGGAGAATAGCCATTATATGGTGTTGTTCAAGGAACAAAGAGTGTGTACCTCCTCACTACACATGCAAGATTAAAAATATTAAAATATTGTCCATTGGTAGTTGGTTGGATCTGTGAAGGTAAAATTTCTGTAGGCAGAGGCTGAGGGCAGGCTTCTGAGGATTCTGAACGGGGAAAATACCAGAGAAAATAAAGAAGAAACTATGAATAGCTGTTGAAAAGCACTAGACCATTTTAAGTACATCAAAGAGTGAAAAGAATGAATGGATTCAAGAATGCATGCTTTGTCTTTCAAAAACTCACAGGGGTCAGCTTTGCTTCCTCTTGTGGTCTCTCTGCATTTACCATTTCAGAGTCAAGTCTCATCTGAACTTATATTTTGTTATTACTTGAAAACAGTAACTCTGAAGGTCTGGAGACAGGACACTCTCTTTAGACTCCTTAGTAGCCAGCACAGCAGAGTCTTAGTTAAAAGAGTGCACTTGGGTTCAGTGACTTGGGCTAGAGTCCCAGATCTCACACTGAATAGATCTGTGGTTTCAGGAAATCTGCTTGGTGTCTGTGTGCCATTTATGTTGAAGAAAAATAAAAAGCTTGAAGAAAAAATAAAAAGATAGCTTTAGCATAAAGCTACTGTAGATTATTGTGGCATTCTTAGAAAATATAAGAAACTGGTCATTTTTCTCCATTCTTTTTTTTGTATGTAAATTTCTCATTTCTCCAATCTGTTTTTCTCACTTCTGTTACTTGATTGGCCTCATTGTTACTAGTGTGTGTGTGTATGTGTGTGTGTGTATGTGTGTGTGTGTGCATATTTGTATATGTGTGCAGATGTCACCTCTCTATGCAAAGACATTAGTCTCAGCCATGTTCACTAGCTTAATCCAACTTCTCCTTGCAATATATAAATGTATATATACATTAGAGAGAGAGGGTGGAGACAGTTTATACAAGTGGACTATGCGTTATACAAAGTTGTTACTAAAACAAGAGGCTATTAAACATGCAGATCTCATTTTACAATACAGTTCTTCCTCCTCAGAATTGACCTCAGGTGAATTTTCAGCCATTGACACCTGTCCACATTCTCTCTCTTTGATCACTGCTGCAGAGTATCTGAGCTCATCCATGTGATTTTTGGCCTATCGTTGGGAAGAGAATCTAAGTCCCACGCCCAGTTGGTAACTGGGACACACACATCTAAGTTCTGAACCTGAAACACCAGGAAGATCCTTTGTGTAGGCCAGTTGTATATTTCGCTCTCATGGCTGAAAATGATGTTCAGACGAACATCTGACCTGCTGAGTGGCCATGCAAAGGATAAGAGTGTTCCTGGAGTCCTCCAGAAAAAAATCCACTGAGGCAAGAGAAAGATGGCTACTTTAGCACAGGAAAAAACCTTAGGCGAGGATGGGGCCAGGGTGAGGGAATGGGAAGGATTACATATGGCTGGTCTTGGCTCTGCAGAGGCTAGAGCAAGTTGTGATCACAGGTGATAAGTCCATGATCCATCAATAATCTCTGCTTCTCAACTGTTAGGACATTATCTCCTTTTCATCAGGGTGTGGACCTGAAGCCTTTACTAAATAAAGTATTAAATTTTTAACCAAAGGTTCATAGGGAATAGTGACAGGTTATAAATCTTCATCTTGTTGCCTTCCATGTGGAGGACCCTGGTAGTGGCTGGGACTGTCTCTTTAGAACACTATGCCCACTATGTAGCTCATATTAAGTTAGTATTTTCTATGCACATTTGTGCATACTTTTCTACTTATTTGCCCTCACAGTAGTTTTATCATGTAGGCTGAAATGTGCTAGAGGAGTTTTCTTTGGATTGGTAATCTACAGGTAGGTATGGACCACAATCTTATGAAAAATCAAAATAGGGCATGTGTGTGAAGAAACTTTTAACAATAAACTATGATTAACAAATGCAATAGAGCCTGTTTATGACTGTAGGCAAAGTGAAGGCCATAGTCCTGCTGGGGAGATACAGTGGCTTGGGAAGGAGGGATAAGTGAACTAGCAATGACTGGAAGGATGTGGGAGGAAAGGGATGCAGAATACAAGTGGTAGGACCAATTCTTGGCACTAATAAAGGGATGCTTTCTTCATCTTCAAAACGACAACAACTGAATGGGTGGGATGAGAAGCTGGGAAGATAAGGCTGCAAAGACCACAACACAGAGTGAGGGGGTCTTTTCCTAAAATTTTACAAACTAAGGGAATTTTGACAGTACAGAAGCATGATGGATGGAATCGAGCATACTGTAGTACATGCTGTGAGAAATGTGATGGATGATTGCCAGAAATCAAAATAATAAATTTGACTCATGTCGTTAATCGTACACTCTGAACATGCAGCATGCTTTGCTGTGTGCACTGATCATCGTATGTACCTGACTTCGTTTTCTTCTCCTGGAGAGGAAAAATATGGATTTGTTAGCTTCACTTTTTAATCCAGGAGGATTAGGCTCAGTGCTTTGCCCCAAGATATGGAAGTAATAGTTGGTAGAATTGAGAGCCACAATCATAGGTCTCCAAGAAGAATTATGTTGTCTCACAGTTGGAATGGGGTAGGACAACAGCAGAGGATAACATGGACTGGGGTTCAGCATTTGGATATTGCAGGTGAGGGAGGTGAGGTCCTGGAGTGATAAAAAGGTTACTTTGGTGAGGTGATTAAGCAGATAGAGACAAACAAAGGAATGTTTGAGAAGGCAGGAGATGAGCATAAAGGACAGTCTCTGTGAGAGTGAAAAGGACAGAAGTTACTCAAGCAGAATCTAGTCCAGCTACGGTAGGAACAAAGTGAAAAGAAGTTCCCAATTCTTACTACCGCATTGACAATGGGCAGCGGTCACCACAGCACAGCACCATGTCCTTGCTGATGCAGTCTCAGATTGTTGTTTGTGCCATGAGTTATTTGAACTTGATTTTCAAATTCTGGGGCCCTTGTCCTGCCTTCAGATGTTCTGAATGGTACCTAGACTGAGACTGGGCATGTATCTTACCCACCAAATGGCAAGGTCATTCTGTCCTGATTAATTTGAAGGACTTCAAGAAATTTGCAAGAGCGAACAAAATGCACAATGCCACAGTGAGTTACCAAAAAAAGTTGCTCTGTTTTTCTGACCTGAAGAAGCCTCATGCTAACATGCAAAACTTTGGTAAGGTTTCTGTTTCCATGAGCTCCTGTGAAAGAGTAGCTTTGTATAGCCCTGCCTAAAAAGGTTATTAAATCACATTCATGAACCCAAGATAGTAAAATTTTCCACAATCATCAGTATGTACAACAATTTAACATTGTGTCAAATGGGCAAATAGCTAACAGGGACTGAGAAATTAATTCAAGCCAAAGTTAAATTGTGGGTCAGTGAGATGACTCAGTGGATAAATGTGCTTCCTGCCGAGGCTGATAATCCAAGTTCAATCCCTGGAACCCACGTGATGGGAGAAGAGAACCAACTCTTGCATGTTGTCCTCTAACCTTCAAACTCCTGTTGTGGCATTTGCCCTCCCTCCCATAAATAAATAAAGGTAAAACAAGTCATATTTTATCTAGAATTATAGTGAGATTCTTGCCCAGCAGTATCAGTAATGCTGGCTGACAAGCTGTTCAGTTACCTCTGTAAGAACAGGAAGAATTCCCATTCAAAATTCCCATTCCCAGTCAAAAGTCAGAACCACGCTAGCTTTCACTACAGTTTTGTGTTCTATGCTTCAGAGTTTTCACTTTATTAACTTAGCATTAAAATTTTCAATTATGTAAGAATGTCTCTTTTCCACAAGGAAAATAGCAATATTTTTCAATTGCGTATACTGGTGTGAGCATAATTTAAATTTAATGGAACTTCACATTTTTTTTAAAAAAAATTATTTATTATTTTTATTTTATGTGTATGTGTGTATTGCCTGTATATAGGTAAGTGCACCCATGTCGTGCAGTGCCCGTGGAGGACAAAAGAGGCTGTTAGGTCCCCTGGAACTGGAGTGTTAGACAGTTGTTAACTGCCATGTGGGTGCTGGGATTGGAACCTGGGTCTTCTGCAAGAATAACCAGTGTTCTTAACCACTGAGCCATCTCTCCAACTCCAGAAATTCACATTTTAAAAATATGTGGAGCCATATTGATAATGGCATAGTTATAGCATATAAGGTAGAATTGACAAAAGATTAATTTTCTGTGGCAAATTATTACAAAGTGCCAAAATAAATAGAACTGATTTTTTTAAAAGCTTGTTGAAATGATTCTCAGAAAGAAATATAAGCCTGCTCTCTACTGTTCACATAAGGCATGCAGTTTAATTATCAGCTCTTGGAGGCACAACTGTAGAGAGGTAAAGAAAACTTGTTAAAAATAGATGTTGCCGATGACTTTACATCCATACATAGGAGCCAAGGATCCGAGTGCAACTGACCATGACTAGTAATAATCAGATACATACAGACTAGAGAAGCATGATCCAACATCTAAGTGTTATAAGCAAAACAATGAGTATTTCTGTAAGAAACAGTATATTTTAAAATGAAACAAAGATATTTTTTTAAAGATTAAAACTCAATTTTATGTTTTATAGCATTTATACTGAGCTCAATATTGTATACCTATTAATTCAACTGCGAACCTAAAAATTTTATAACCACTTTTGAAAGCGATGTATCTTTGCTCTGGAAATTGTTATTGAACATGTTAAAGCTGTAATGAAATGCCTCTTCTAAAAAAAAAATAGATGTTGTAATCTACACTCTGGCCAGTTGTGTCCAGTTGCTCTCTGTTGCATGAGAAAGCTCCACAAATGAGAGTTGAGATACGTTAGTTTGAAATACATTAGTTTTCGCTCTACCACTTGTTCCACTATGTTCCATGGGCCTTGGGTGTTTAGGTTCCACTGTTGATGTGTCCTTCAGGCTAGGGCATCTCACAGACACTTTTTCTCTGTGTGTGACCAGTTGTGGAACTCTGGACTAGACTCTGTCTGTTGCAAAAGAAGTTTCTTTGATGAATGGTCAGTGATATGCCTATCTGTAAATATAAGGATCCATATTTAGCATATAATGAGAAATTATGACTGTCTAGGGATATGACAGAGTTAAGACTTTTTCTAGAACCATTTGCCATCCAAAATATGAGTTCCCACCTGTTGAGTGGGCTTTAAGTTCAAGTAGGTACTGTCACTACTGTGCCAATATAGTTTGCTGTGCTGGAGTGCGTGTCCCTGGATAAGACTCCTATATTAAATCTCACCTAACCAAGGCTCAGGGATCATTGTAGAAGAAGGGTTAGAAGGATTGTAAAAGCCAGGGTCGTACATGACTATAAGGAAACAGAGTCTTCTTACAATCTCCTGGGAACTTGCTCATATGAACTTACAGCAATGGTGATGACATGCACAAGACCCATGCAAATTCGATAAAATAAAAACCAGCAAAGGACTGGGAAAATGGGCAGGAGGCCCCAACTTTAGCCAAGGCTGAACAATGGATGAACTCACACTGAAAGACAGCTGGGTACACAAACTTGACTTGATAAGCTTTAACATATAAGACAGAATCTGTGAAATCCTGTGGTAGGCCATTGGGGAGGTGCAGATATGGGAGGTCTAAATATGATTAAAGTGTATTGTATAGAATCCACAAAAATTCAATTAAAAATACATTGACAAAAATAGATATTGTTAGATGCCATCATAACATTCTGGCTCTGTAGACCTGGATGGAATACTAGAATATTGTTTTGTGAGAAACAGCTTCCTAGATCCTATGTAGGGTCCCTCATGCATATGGTAAGAATTACTCAAATTTATCCGAGCTCTTGTAAGCATAGTGTGATACTTAGGTCAGGTAAGACATAATTTCATCATAACCTATGATCACAGATGATTGGACTTCATTATTTCTTAAAGTGTGATCCCACTTATGACTGTACTGTGCCTACTGCATATTTTATCCCCAGTTCTCAGTAGTGACATTCTTTAACAATAGTTTCATTACGTCAACTGGACATATTCTACTTTAAATCATTTTCCAGGAAACATGTGCATCGTACATTGTTAAATAATTGTATTTCTACTATAGCTATTGTTATTGTTCTTATCCTTATCATGTGGGTTTTTTTTCTCAGTAGAATAGTTATTGATGGAGCTAACCTGACCATATCTAATATCACTGTAGAAGATCAAGGTATTTACTCCTGTTCTGCTCAAACTCTTCTGGATAGTGTTTCTGAATCAATCCAAGTAACTGTCCTTGGTAAGTGCAGCAAGCAAAGAGCTTGCTTCCCTTGTATGTTTAACTGCCATTGTGCTCGGGTAATAAAGCCAATTGTAATTTGATTCCCTTTACATATACTGAAATTAGAGTATTTTTATTTAAAAAGTAATATCACTTTCAAATGTTTTCTCTTCTTCTCATATAGAAGAAATTAATTAATGATTAATCGCTTTCCATCCATGGGAAGTTTGCCAGGAGCAGCAGGAGATAAGCAGAGCTGTCATTAGAGAAAAAACAAAACAGTCCTGTGTGCTGAAACACTCAAGCTACCCTCTCCTCAGGTTCACAGAGATGGGGCTGAGAATGGAGGTGGGCTGTGTGGAAGAAGGGGAACAGTAGTTTCCAGAAGTGGATGCTCAGTGGTCACGTTCTTCACCAAACTCACAGGCTGAGCACTCAAGGAAGGAGAAAGGATGAGGATAGATAGCAAGTATCTTGCAAGGGAACACATTTGAATTTTTAAAGTGCTAATAGGTAAACAGCATGCACACTTCACTGGTGTAATCAGTGCAATTACTCCTGAAACCACCAACATTTATAGCTCTCAGACGATATGCTGGGTTTTTCCTAGTCTCTATCTAGATTTACTCACTGCTGGCTCTTCAACCTGGAAACCTGCCCTGTAAGGACAAGATCGGCAAACCACTTACCACTTGTGCTGCATCTTTCCGTTGACGCTACAGATACAGAGTCCTGGGAATAGAGTGTGGAGTGTGTTCTCTCTTCTTCCCTTTTCCCTGCAGGCTGGTTGTGTCTTGCTGCCCAAGTCATAGCCCCTCCAGGGTGGCATCCCCCACACAATTCTTTCTGAAACAATTCTGGCAGCTCTAGACACTCTACTCACATGTATTTAAGAAAGAGTTCTTAGCATCACCTATTGAAATGACCTAATTTGCCTGAGCTATTTATTGTCTCATGTATAGAAGGAAACACCTGCTACAGATGTTTTAACAGTTTTTGTGTGTTCCATTTCAAAAGAAAACTGTCTTTCAGTCTATTGGTATTTCTAAGAACATTTGATTTTTGTCTAAACTCCTCTATATATGACTAGATTAGTGACCGTTATGAATAAGTCTTTGTATTTCCAGCACTCCTATTTTCCGGGGTCCATAGATTACTTGGGTGGTGTAGTGTACAGAATGATAAGAAAAGATACCATTCTCTCCTGAGACAGCCAGTGAAATCATTAAGCACATCTTGAATCTCTTCATGAAGGTAGCAGCTACTAGGTTGAGTTGTATCAAGTATATAGTATATTCCACACTGTAGAAGACATGAACTTGATTCATTGGATCACATGTTTATCTGTAACTGTGAGCTTCCTCAGGACTCTTCAAACCAAAATATTTAATCCTCAAGTCACTATCCCAACAGTAATTTGCCAGGTAATGTGGCTGAGCATCCAATAAAATGAACTTCGTTTCAGCTGCTGTTGGTATAGGTTGTGGGGACTCATGAGCCTTGCTCCTTGGCATTTTGAGTGACAACAGCAACAAAGGATTGATTAACTTTTGCTTGATTGGTGTTTATCTTCTCTCTTTCCTTGCAAAATTCAAAATTCATCCTTATGATTAGTTTGCCATTTTCTAGCACCATTAAATTTTGCTAATTTAAATAAATAGTTCCTATGATTATACATACCATTTATGTAATAACCTGCCAATATTTTTAGAATGAAAATTAACAACGCTTGAAGAATTTTTAGTAAGATGGTTAAAATTCTAATTTTTCAGTCCCTGGTTAAAAAACATCTCAATAGCTGACAATAAAAGCCATTATAAACACTTGTAGTGCCCAAAGAAAACAATGTTTTAGATGCCTCGAAGCCTAGATCTAAATCAGTTTCATGAGAAGTTATTTGCAGAATGCGTGACATAAAAACACTTTGAGAATATTGGTTTGCAGAATCTCTGTTGCAAGTCTTCTTTTCAGCACCCTGTGATGCTCTGAGGAATCAGATTTTGATCTCAGATGAAACATGCTGAGCGAGGTGTTCCAGTAAGCCTCATAACTGAGTGAATTCTTAGTAAACTTACAAGAGAAAAGCAAATTTTCTGAGCTTACAAATACAGAATAGCACTGAAGAAATATTTTGGGGGGCACTTGACAAGACCTCAGATCATGAAGTCGTATCTTTAGTCTAAAGGAAATAACTTTTGATTTAAGATTCTAAAGTTTGAATATAATCATTTACCACATTTTAAAAGTAAGCATGCTCCATTCTTAGTTGGAAACATGTTTTTGATCAAAGCATTTGATCAACTCTTAAGAATTTGCAAACGCTATGCAGGGGCCTAAAGGCTGCCCCGAAAATGACTTCACTGTCCTCTGAGCAAAAGCAAATACCAAGTATTTGAGAGTCTTGATGCAAATTTTGGAAATAAAGTTCATTTGAGACAGGATTTCCTTTTTATTGTGACTTTTAATGAAAAATTGTTCAAACTTTCTGTGTATTTCACCACTCAAAAGTGTGTCATTACCATCTCAATATTCCAGTTTCTGTTACATTTGCCAATGCCCAGTCTGCCTCCTCTAATGCTTCCTACCCTTTTCTGTACCCCAGATCAATGCTTTTATAAATCTGCTAAAATATGTATAGACTTGACCATCATAAATTATAATAAAAACCCAAAGCAGTTGCAGAAAAGCTTGTTCCCTGTCTTACTCATCTATAACCATAGGGCATAATTTTTATTGGTCTAGTAGGATAGTTATATGCATGATTGAAGTGACAATATATTTTCCCTTACTCATTTATAGCACAAAATATTTATGTGCAAAGCACCATGAACAATACAAAGATTACTAAGAGATCTCTTGTCTTAAGAATCCTTTAATCATACACAGGGCAAGAATCAGACATATAGATCTAGATAAACAGTATATCTGTCAAATCTCCTAAAGTTGATCATATACAACCATCACCCAGGCAATAGGTAACCTAGGCAACACCTAGGCAAATGAAGATGCCTAGGCTCCCTTCCAAGGTGAGGGACAGAGACTTTCATTGTTAAAAACCACTACAAAGGGCTGTAGAGATGGCTCAGCGGTTAAGAGCACTGACTGCTCTTGCAGAGAACCCAGGTTTGATTCCCAGCACCCACACGGCAGCTAACAACTGTCTGTAACTCCAATTCTGGTAAATCTGAGGCCCTCTTCTGACCTCTGTGGGCATTCCGACACGGGTGCAACTACCTACATACAGGAATTACACTCATACACATAAAGTAAAAAACAAAATAATAAAATAAAACCACTGCCAAAACAATTCTTATGCTCCCATCCAGTCAAGGATGACCTGAGAACCACTGTGGGCAAAGAGTAACAGGTATGAAGAAGGTTGCATTTGACATAGAAACTGAAGTGTTGCTGAACATGTAGTTCAGAGTCATGGTCCAGAAAGGAATGGAGGCTGGAAATATATCTGAGTCTGGAAATCAGAGAATCAAAAGCAACCATCTGCATTTTCCTTACAGTTATCTTTTGTTATTGACTAGATGTTCCAGATCCTCCAGAAAACCTTCGCTTGTCAGAGAGGCAGAACAGAAGTATCCGGCTGTCCTGGGAGGCTGGAAATGACCACAATAGCAATATCAGTGGTAAGGACATTTGGAAGCCTGCTTTCTTTGCCCTATAGCATCAACTTAATGTTATAGCCATTTTAGCTGTGGGTTGTCCTTATTAAAGTACTCTTTAAAGCTTTATTTGTGTATTTACTTTTAAGTTTTTTATAAGTATATATTGTATCTTGGAGATATTTTTCCTCGTGCTCCCCTACCTTTCCTTTTATTACCCCCCACATTAGTCACCTTCTCCCTACCCCACGAGACAGTTTTAATTTTACTTTCATGTCATATATGAAAGCTCGTACATGATTTTATGTAAGTATATTAAGCCTTGGAACCACGAGTGAGAAAAAGACAATATTTGTCTTTCTGAGATTGGCTTAGTTCACTTAGTATGATTTTCTCCAGTTTTACCCATTTCCCTGTAAATGATACAACTTTATTGTTCTACTTTTTTGCTGAATACATATGTGTGTGCCTTTCTGTGTATGCAGGTGCATAGGTGCATGCATGTATGTGGCAGGGTGTGTGAAGGTCAGAGGAGAACCTGCAGTGTTGTTCCTCAGGCAGTGTTGACATATCTGTTTGTTTATTTTTGAGATATAGGCTGTCACTGTGACTTGATAAGTGGACTAGTCTGGCTGACTAGTGAACCTCAGGGATCCTCCCGTCTCCACCTTTCCAGTGCTGGGATTGCAATTGTCCACCACTATAGCGAGCATTTTATGTGGTTTCTTTTAATCCATCATTCCTTTCTATCCTTTTAAGCGTTTTATTGTTGTTTTGTTTGGGGTTTTTCTTTTTCCTTTTTCTTTTTCTTTCTTTCTTTTTTTTTTTCTTAATTGTTTTTTGAGACAGGGTCTCTCTGTAGCTTCAAGGGGCCTGGAATTTGCTGTGCAGACCAGACTGGCCTTGATTTCACAGAGATTGGCCTGCCTCTGCTACCTGAGTGCTGGAATTGAAAGCATGTACCAACGCATCTGACTCCTTTAAATCTTGTAATATTGTAAATAAATCTTAATAGAGTTTAAGCCTTCTCAATATCTTCTAATGACTTGTTCATTTCTTACTGCCAGAGTACATTGTAGAGTTTGAAGGAAACAGAGAGGAACCTGGAAAGTGGGAGGAGCTAACTAGAGTCCAAGGAGAGGAAACAGAGGTGGTGTTACCTTTGGCTCCATATGTGAGATACCAGTTCAGGGTCATAGCCATGAATGAAGTGGGGAGAAGTCACCCCAGCCAGCCGTCGGACCACCATGAAACCCCACCAGCAGGTATGCAGGCTCTCACATCAGGTTTCTCATAAAATGTTTTACATCGGGCCCATCTTTCAGCATGTAGAATGACAAAGGTTATGTGATATACGATATTAAATTCCTCCAACTATTTTGAAAATGCCTGCAAATAATTTACAATATTAGAAGTATTCTTGTATTTTTGCTTTTTAAATTTTAGTGTTCAATAATTGTTTGACAAAGAGCAGGGAAATGCAGTTCTGGTATGGAATTTGAGAGAGCATTATTTTAAATAGTTTCCAGTAGCTAAATATCATCTTTGAATCTGATCTCATAATGTAAGTGCTAAATTGAAGTTCAGTTTATAAAGAAAACCAGGATTCAGTTTTCTAAAGTAAAACTTTTGACTCATATGCATCTTTTTAAAATTTTAAAGTGTTAATAGATTGCTTCTTATGCAGTTAGTAATTTTTGTATTTCTGTTTCTATCTAAATGATCAGGACAATTTCTTAAAGCATCAAAATGACAGTGAAAAGTAACGATGTTACAAAATTGGTATTGGACATCAATTTGTTCATAGCACAGTGCTTGATTTTCTTAGAGTAAAATAAGTACCCTGTACCAAATCTCCTCTTTGATTGAGGAATACCAAGTGGAAGTAAATTTTTGATCAGATACGTGTATGATTTTAATTGATTTTGAACTCAGTGCTAAATCTGCTGTTGGCCTTTTTTCCCCTAACAAAATGGCTCCTCCTAAATCTATTCCATGGCTGCATTATTATACACAGTTTTCAATTTGATGTCTCTAAAACTTGTTTTTTAATGTGAATTCATAAAGTTTAATTTTATTTTCCTAGATGCAAATACTCAGGACATACGTTTATATCAATAATTTTAACAGAAAAGTACAACAGTTTGAAAATGAAAACATATTTTTAAAAACAGGCTTAGAATTTTAACTGGTGGACTTAAATTTAAGATACATGTAGAGAACCAAGTACTAGCCACTGCATAGCAAATCTATGATTATAGGAGTCTCACTTACTCCTTTTAATAAAAGGTATTTTGAAAAACTGCCTTACATTTTCTTTGGAACTAAACTATATTGAGATCAATAAATACAGTCAAAATTTTTAGTTATTTATGTTGGGGGAGGAGTAATATGATGATTAACCATTTGATTTCTACACAATGAAAAACATAATTTTAATTCTTGTTTTTTTTTAGCTCCAGACAAGAATCCACAAAATATCAGAGTTCAAGCATCCCAACCTAAGGAAATGGTTATAAAATGGGAGGTGTGTATTTTTTTAACGTGCAATCTGTTTCTTTTGCCTCCTTTTAAAATTTTAGGTTGCCATGCTAACTACAATGATAGGACAATTTGTTTTTTTAATTTTATTTATTCTTTTTTATGTGTGTTGCGTGCATGTATGTTAGTGCACCCGCGTCGTGCAATACCCAGGAGGTCAGAAGAGGGCTTCGGAGTCCCCTGAAACTGGAGGTTCGTAGCTGCCTTGTGGGTGCTGGGAATCGAACCTGGATCCTTTGCAAGAGGAGTTAGTCCTCTCAACCACTGAGACATCTCTCCAGCTCCCAAGGACAATATATATATATATACATATATATATATATATGTATATATATAATATTATTTTTGTTTTCCGTGTATGCGTGCATTGCTTGCATGTAGGTAAGTGCATCCCGGTGTCGTGCAATACCCGTGGAGGCGAATCCCCTGGAACTGGAGTTACAGACAGCTGTTAGCTGCCATGTGGGTGCTGGGATTCAAACCCGGGTCTTCTGCAAGAACAACCACTGTTCTTAACCTCTGAGACAATATATTTTTAAGATCAAAATCTTAGCTTTGGTGAATGAAATTAAATATTAAGTTATCAATGTTTAGCAATCACTGTGATTAAGATGTGTTGCAAAAAGGGATCGACACATAGCTCAGTGACAGGGTGCTTACTTAGAGTGCTTGAGAGCCTGGGTTCAATCTCTAGTACTGAAAAACAAACAAAAAGAATGAGTATGAAAAGGCTTTAGCCCTTGTAAACAATTTACAAGCTATACAACTTGTGGTTGGACTCTATTATAAGAAGTTTCAAATTTCCAGTATTTTATTTTTAAAATTTTAGAAGCTTTCTCAGTGAAAAACATAGTAAAAAATATTTCACCATATAGTCTAGCCAATGTTATACAAAGTTGATTTCCCAGTTGGAGGTACCTACATTTAGTTTCTATAGGCATTTTGCATATTTGCTTCTAATTCTGAGAATAACCTTGTCAATAAAGCATCATTATTCCTTTGCTGTAGATGTAGACACAAAAGTCCAAAACAATGTGATCCCCTTTCTCACCTGTGAGGGGAAGAAATGTTTGAGGCTTCTCTGCTTGATTCATCCTCAGTAATGACACTCAGTCTATATCAGGGACTTCTCTGAGGGCTTCTATGGGCCTTGTTCACCATTTCCTGAAGCTAAAGCAAAGTGTCACAGCTATCCATTCAAGAGCCCAGAGACCAAAGAGCTTGGAGAAAGAGCTAACTACTTTTTCTTAACATTGGTATAGTTTACTTTAAAATTTGCCAGAGAATAATATTAAATTTACCTGTTTTCTTTGGAGCAAAATAGGAACAAATTGAATATTTTTTTCTTTACAATTCATCTTCAGTAAAGGCTGAAAAAATTATAATTTCAAATTGTACTCTGAAGTTAAAAGCTTCTGGCAGGGACTGGAAAAATGGCTCAGTGGTTAAGAGCACATACTGCTATCACAGAGAACTGTGTTTTGTTCCTAACACCCACTTCTGGCATCTCACAACTATCTATAGTTCCAGCTCCAGGGACTCTGATGCCTTCTTCTTACCTCCATGACCCCTGCATTGATGTACACATAGACACACCACACACACACACGCGCGCGCGCACACACACACACACACCACAAGAATATATGCATGCATGTGAATAAAAACTTTAAAAAATGTTTAGAAAGAGAGTTTGTAGACCAATCTATTTGCATAATGCTGAAAGCCCTGGTAAATTAATATCTGTTATACTGAAATAGTTTGGAGTGATACTTTTTAATATATGCAAGTATAAAAAGCAATTGTGGAGAACTCTCAGAAAAATTTTGTCTTATTTATTTATTTATTTATTTATTTATTTATTTATTTGATTGATTGATTATTATTATATTGCCCTCCACAAGTTAATTTAAGGGTTACCTTGGAATAGGCATAAACCTGAAATGATTTTCCATCACAGAATGATCTTTCAAATTCCAACCAATACCACTAATAAGTGTTTTAGCAAATTATACCAAAGAAAGAAGCATTACAAATTCTACAAGAGCATTTTATATTTAATCACCCACATACACAAACTTACTCTTAATATAAATGAATTTCTAACTGAGGAATAAAATATATTGATATGCATTTATGTAACTGAATCATTTAAATAACATTACTCTTTGTGTAAAATTAAACTGATGGTTCAAAACACGTTATTTTATTTAAACAGAAGTATGTTAAGCTCAAAACTGGCATGCAGATAACTTATTTCCTATACTATAAACTCATTAAAACACAGTGAGTGAGGGTGGCATTTTCTATATTTTCTATAAAAATATAGAAACAGATTGCTCAAGGAACTAGGAAAATATTTTGTCATAAAGAGAAACTACTGCTCTGTGTCCTGAGTATAAACATGTACATTCTTCCAAATTAAAGATAGACTCCACCTCTCTTTCTGTTGAGGAAAGGATAGAATATGGTGCCTGAAAAATCTGCCAAAGGAGTCAGGACTCGAGATTTCACGGCCATATCATTTTCATTCCTTTGGGCATAAAAGGAGGGACTACAACAAAACATTTAAGAAAACTAAACCCCTCTTTGGAATGTATTTTCAAATTATTTTATATATGAAAGCATAGGTTTCACAATATGGGTATAAGCTAAGCATTTAGTATGGACTTTTTATTTGGCAAGGGGAAGGGTTAATGTGGGTACTTAAACTTATAAAATGACAAAAATGTTCAATAATGTTTTTGACCAAAAAAGAGTAGTTAATATCTCTTTAAAAAGAAAAAAAAAACATTTAAAAAAAAATAGAACTTGCACTGTTTAAAATGAGTTATTTATGTCTTCAAGTGAACATATTTATGATTACATAAAATAAGCCTTGATTTCTGTTTCAGCCTTTGAAATCCATGGAGCAGAATGGACCAGGACTGGAGTATAAAGTGAGCTGGAAACCCCAGGGAGCTCCTGTAGAATGGGAAGAAGAAACAGTTACAAACCACACACTGCGTGTGATGACATCTACTGTGTATGCTCCTTATGATGTCCAAGTCCAAGCCATCAACCAGCTTGGCTCAGGGCCTGAGCCTCAGTCAGTGACTCTCTTTTCTGGAGAAGACTGTAAGTGCTACACGCCTGTACCCTAAACCTTTCAAGGTCATATTCAAGTATATTACACTTGTGCAAACCTTTTTTGGGATGGGAGACAGGGTGTGAGACAGGTTTCCCTCTGGCCCAAGTGGCTTGCAACTGTCTGTATAGATCAGACTGGCAGAGCTCTCACAGATCTATGCATCCCTCTTGCCTCCTGAGTCCTGGGATTAGAGGTGTGTGCTATACACCTGCCTTGTGTCGATATCTTTGAGCACCTGCTCCTTGCAGAGAATATACTACCTGTAGGAAAGAAAAAGCAATTCTTGCTTCCTACTTGGAGTTGACTGTGGAACAGGAAGTGGGCATGGAGTGCTAAAGTACTTTGCCTGGGGATGGAGCTGAGTTCGCAGAGCGTTTGCCCAGCATGAACAAATCTCTGTTTGTTCCCTTGTACTACATAAAACTAGATGTGGTGGCAAATATTCGCAGTTTTAGAACTTATGGGGCAGAGGCAGGGAGGATCACAAGTTCAGGTCATCCTCAGGTGTCTAGAAATTTTGAGCCAGCGTGTGTCACATAAGACCCTGTCTCAAAAAAAGAATTGGAAAAGTAAAGAAAAACAACTACAAAAACAAAGAAGTAAGATAAGTAGGAAGATGAGGAGGAAGAAGAGGAGGAGGAGGAGGAGGAGGGAGAGGAGGAGGAGAAGGAGGAGGGAGAGGAGGAGGGAGAGAAGGAGGAAGAGGAGGAGGGAGAGAAGGAGGAAGAGGAGAAGGAGGGAGAGGAGGAGGAGAAGGAGGAGGGAGAGGAGGAGGGAGAGAAGGAGGAAGAGGAGGAGGGAGAGAAGGAGGAAGAGGAGAAGGAGGGAGAGGAGGAGGAGAAGGAGGGAGAGGAGGAGGAGAAGGAGGAGGGAGAGGAGGAGGAGGAAGAGGGAGAGGAGGAGGAGGAAGAGGGGGATTGTTTGGAGAGTTTCAATCTTATTTGAGAGCCAGGAAAAGTCTTTATAATATGAAAACCAAAGACCTCCCCCTACGCAAATCATGAGACCCAGTAAGTAAACATAACTCGTGTGGTAGATTTATCCTATCTTGCCAAGGATTTCCTAGCTACCACCTGGTGCATATCTGGTCCTTCCTAACAGCTGATATATATACTCAGATTTGAATATAGAATTATCAACAAATACAAACAGTTTTGAAGTGTTGTTCATGTGACCATATTGCAAAATACTAATTGCATAACAATTACTTCAATTAAACTTCCAAAAAAGAAAAGCCACTGCATTGGGTTCCTCTGGGTACAAGTTACACTTATCTTCTTCTAAGATTTGGTGTCAGGATTTGAATTAAGAATTAAAAGTTTAGAATGATAAACAGTTTATTATTCAACCGTTCTTCAAGTATTTTATTCAAATAAAAAGATACCTATCACATCACTTTGTGAGCTATTTGTCTATATGACTCTTTAGTAATTTAATAGGATTAGGGGGAATATGTTAAAGATTATATGATCCAGTCAAGGAAGAGTTCCTAAATATCTGAAATACAGTGTATATTCACTTGATGATGACTGTTATTAATATTAACTAAATTCAAAAGTAATCTCTTTGTTACTAGTGTAGTTTTTTGTCCAGAGAGCATTTCTATGTACATGGCTATACATTTCCCTTTGCATCTGTCTGCATCATGAACATCTGGAGAGCATCATTTCTCAGTGTGGTACAGGCTGTCCTATTCTACCAGAGATTCCTGGTGACTAAGCAAGTCTCCATCATGAGAAACTCTTGGTTTCATCTGGGACCAACTTCCTAAAAGTGTGTTCCAGAGATTAAATGTTGTAAAGATCACTTTTGGAAAGAGATAATTCCAATCATGTCTGGAGGTTATTGGAAGCTGATCAGTCTCTCAAATGCTTCACAGATCCTAGTACAGCCCCAGTGATCCATGGCGTGGATGTTATCAATAGTACATTAGTTAAAGTTACCTGGTCAGCAGTTCCAAAGGAAACAGTTCATGGACTTCTGAGAGGATACCAGGTGCGTATCAGGTTTTTTATTTTCTTACTGATATTAGTAAATGTGTTTTTTCCTGAGATTATAAACTGATTTAAGAAAAGTCCAGATGATTATCTACCACCACGGTTGTTGCATTAGAGTGTTCTGTTCATATTTTCATTGCAGATAAACTGGTGGAAAACAAAAAGTCTGTTGGATGGAAGGGCACATCCCAAAGAAGTAAACATTCTAAGATTCTCAGGTCAACGAAAATCTGGAATGGTCCCTTCCTTAGATGCCTTTAGTGAATTTCACTTAACAGTCTTAGCCTATAATTCCAAAGGAGCTGGTCCAGAGAGTGAGCCTTATATATTTCAAACACCAGAAGGAGGTAAGAGAATAAATATAAAAGGTTGCCTACAACCCACATTTCCTACTGGATAGGTTAAATATTTCTTTTCAATTCAAGAGTTACTATGTAGCTTATAGGAGTTAACATCTGTTTCTATACACTCAGACTGTCATGGAATTTTTTGTTTGGTTTTTTAGAAATGTAGTAATTTACAAGTGTTCATTTAGGATCTTGTGTTTTCCAGTGCCTGAACAGCCAAGTTTTCTTAAAGTCATCAAGGTTGATAAAGATACTGCCACTTTATCCTGGGGACTACCTAAAAAACTAAATGGAAATTTAACTGGCTATCTATTGCAATATCAAATAAGTAAGTATAAATTTGAATTGGCTTACCCTACTAAAGATTCAGCTTTTGCTCAAAGATTTGATTTGTTATGTTAATGACTTGGAATGCTTCAGTATATAGCACAAGGATCTGTCAACAATTTGCAGGCAAGCTGTATACTTTGTTTCATAAGTACACTTTTATTTTACTGGAATATTATCATGGTCCCCTATTTACATATTGCCTATAGCTATTTTTTTTTAACTAGAAAGGCAAAATTGAATTATTGCAACAGAGACAGCATGGTCCTCAAAGTCCAAAGTATTTATAGCCTAGCCCTTAACCAAAAGGTCTGTAGACAACTATAACTAAAACAGGGGGCACCAGGAAAAAAAAATTTTTGCTATTTATCTGTAAGAAGCTTTGAGAATTTAGAACCATGCCATAAGGTAAAGTTAGTAAATAATGCAATGGAGAGTCAAAGCACATGTAACTCCATTTTAAGATGGCTTTTACTATTTCGGATAAAGAATTCCAGTCTCAACTTTATGTATTTTTTTGTGTGTAGAATCCCTCTTAACTAAATTTCTGGTTTAAGTAAGTTGTCTTTATGGGACTGAAGCGCTGTCATTGGATTATTACTCACAATAATTTCTTCCTGCTGCTTCTGTGTCTTTAGTTTAAAAAATAGATACATTTAGATTGTTTTTTAAAAATTACAATATCTCTTATATGTAACAGTCTTCAAAAATAAATATCATTTCAAAATGGAAATCCGGTGACTAAGACAATCAGAATTTAGTAATAGCCCAACCACAATGCTTTAGAAGTTGAGGATATGAGTTCCTAAGTAGCCCCACAGGGACTATAAACATCAGCCTACCTTGCTTACAAAAGCCAGCCTGATCATAGCCCTGGTATATAACTCTGACGTCTCTTGAAGAGCTGCTATAATGTGATTCTAGTGCTCTCTGCTGAGCAGAGCAGGTCTATCTATTTAAGTAAATACAAATACAATCTAAAAGTACTGTTTCTGTCTTTGTAGTGAGTGCTCGCTATGTAGCAAGGCCAGTACTAGTGCTCTCCTTGTTTTAGTTCATTGAAATAAACATCCTGTGAGATATGTACTATAGTATATAACATGCTGTATTTTATGGATGAAGGCATGGAGGCATGTAGAGTATATTTATTTAGGGTTATGCAGCAGTGTTATTTGCTGCCAGGCTACTTCTAGATTCTGAGCTCTTAAGTTACAATCTTCCAAAGGCTAAGTTTTAAAAATGTGAAAAGAATGGAAATATTTAAGAGATCTACAATATAATTTTGTTTACTTAATATTTGTCTTATCCTTGTCCTAACACAGTAAGAAACTCAAGTTACTTAAATTTAAATATTTGATTTGATATATATGTAAGATTTAAATTTGTCTAAAAACCAATGTTAATAACATAGAGTAGATAAAATAACAAGAATTATGATTATTATGCTTCTTAAAATGCATAGCTTAACACACGTCATTGACTCAAGATATGGGTAAGGTGTTTCCTGTTACCACACCTCAGTCTTCTTGTGGGTAATTTACTGGCAGAAATTGTATGTACCTCCAAAAAGCTTATAGAAATACATAATTATGATAGTTTATTGCATACCTCAAGCATAAGTAGGACTAAAATTAAAAGATATTGTCATTTCAATCGTAAAGAACTTTTAAACTTGAGGCACTGATACTCATGCTTGTTTCTTCAGTAAACGACACTTATGAAATTGGAGAATTAAATGATATCAACATAACTACTCCATCTAAATCCAGCTGGCATCTCTCAAATCTCAATGCAACTACCAAGTACAAATTCTACTTGAGGGCATGCACTTCAAAAGGCTGTGGAAAGCCGATAAGTGAGGAAAGCGCCACACTAGGAGAAGGGAGTAAGTACATAGTGCTTCCCCATGCTGTGATTTCACATAACTGCATTGAAGGCAAGGCCCAGGCTGTTCACTGTAAATTAGAAATGACTGTGACCCAAATATCTGACCCTCTGTTTATCACTAACAATGAACAGAATTTGCTCATCTTGTTTGTAAAGTTCACAATGACTCAATTTATGAATTTCTAAACAATATCAATTAAACATTGCTTAGTGTACACAAGGCCAGGACCATAATTCTACTTAATTAAAATAAGTGGATATAAGTTCATAAAGTTGCTCATAAGGCTAGTACAACCATATTTCTCTTTGGAGAATATTTATATAAGGAAAAATATTTGTATTTTTATTAGAAAAAAATTTGTATTACCTTAGTAGACATTTTGCAGTATATGAATATATACCACTTCTATGCCTTGATCCATCACACATTAATTTATTTGCTAATTTTATTTCACTCTCTGGTGGTTCATGCCAACAAACAATTGAAAATGACCTCCCAGTCTGTGATTACTTTTATAGTATAATTCTCCTAAATAAATTACATTCCTTCAGTTTTTACTATCTTATAAACATATCTGTTGCAAAACTATGTCTTCAATGACAGTTTTAGGAATTTTCTTGCTAAACATTCTTTAATGTGCTTAAAGAATGAAGAACTTGTGTGGGGAGTTTAGGGTGGTCAATCATGGAATGATTTGAGGGCAGAGAAGGAAGGAATGGAAGCAAAAAAGAAGGGAAACAAAACCATTAATTCACAAATAGTATCTGGTAAATATTCTGTTCTGAATGGCTTTCCAAAGCATAGATTAAGAAAATAAAGGAATCGGTGGAAGAAATGCCAGGAATAGAAGTAGTAAAGAGTTACCAAATTGACCCTTATCTATTAATGATATACAATATACTCAGATTTGTGAATCATTATCAATCAATATCTTCCCTCCGTGGGCAGTTACACTCCAAAATTTATTATCAGCTTCTCCCTCTTCTTGTTTTTATCCTGTCAATAAAAAAGAGGGTTTATGATTTCTTTGAAATATAAACTTGATTATATGTGAAGAGTATGTATTTTCAAATAACATCAACTACAAGGCCACAAACTGCTCCAAAGAATGAACTAAACACTGCATGAAATGAACTCAGGCATCTAATTAAATGTGAGAATTCAAGATAGTAATGAAAACACTCTAGTCACTAAAGAAAGGGATCAAGGATTCAAACTGGATTAAATATTTAATTCAGAGACTTCCAAATAGTAATTGTCTAAATACACAACTTCCTTCTTGGTTTTCTTTTTTTTTTTTTTTTTTTTTTTTTTTTTTTTTTTTTTTTTTTCCAACCATAGAAACTGTTAGCCCCTCCCCACTCTTGACAATCTGAAGCGCTTAAAAGAAGATAGTCACAGCATTGCCTTAAATATGTTTTACACTCTAGTATATATTGGAAACTTTGGGCTTGATTGCATTCATACTTGAAAACTGCTTTTTTGGGGGGCCTGTGTAATTTCAGAACTGAAGCCACACCTCTTTTGTACACTGAAGTTATAGCTAACTTGCTTGACTGTCAAAAAACTAATTTCTTTCCTCTCATAGGTGTTGATAGTTTAAAAATATTCCTCACTAAGATGTTTGTGCTCTTTTTCAGGGATCTGCATTTTCAGTATTCCAGTTACTACCCTCTCCCCAGTTCACACTGATTTCTCCTTTATAGACATATTTTGCCATATTGAAAAGTATAGTCACTTTTCCTACTGGATTTCAACATGGTTTTGAATTATACAGTTCCACCGAGGAGCTCAACGTCACTAAGCGCTCTAAACATGACAGATTTTAGAAATTAGAATCTATTGCTCCATATATTTCTTTTCCTTCTTTTGACTAGAGAGTACATTTTAAGATTGTGTGATATTGCTGATAGTTTGAGATGCAGTGAGCACACTTTGTTTTTTCCGATTGTTTTCTGGTTATCTCTCCAGCTTAAAAGTGGTTAGTAATTGAAGAGGGAGAAAGATGGATTTAGAATATGTTACTATGTCATTGGTGGTTTGAGTAAATCATTTGCTTTTCTCTATTTTTCGAAAGCTTGCACAGACTAATGATACACTAATGCTTATGTTTTTCAAAGTAAAAATTAATTGCATTGTATATTATCGTGATCTGACCTAAAAGCTTTGCTCAACTATATAACTGGCTTTATGTCTTCCATGGTGCCATTTTTAATGAAATCTGCTGTTGTACAGTTAACTATGCAATCAATTTTTGTTCTTTGACGAAAATTTGCAATTAAGAATTGCTATGTGAGTACGCCGGCTTAACACGACTATTCATTATCCATTCTGTCCTCTGTAGAGATCTGATTTCCTTTCATGTGTAAATTGGCAACATTTCCTGATTGACACTATGTTGAGCTAATTCCTTGAGAAAATGTGAATCAATGCAAAAATATTTCACACGTTTGATTGTCAGATCAGAAATTAATCTGTATTAACCAAACTTGACTCATTTTATCCATTATGTACAGGGTCAACAATCAACCCCTTGACATATTATTGATAATTCTTTCTGGAAAAGTATTAGGTTTTCATACCATGTTCAAAAGGTCAACAAAATCATCCCATTCAAATGTACCTATAAACCTGCACTTTATGTAGCTGAAGATTCTAATTTACATCTTTAATATGTGACTATATTGAGATGTTGTGCCACCAGTACTTACGGAGGCAAAGGCAAAAAGAATGTGTATACATATATACATATGTGTACATAATGCATCATAGTATCGAATACACAGTTAAAATCAAAATGGCACATGCAGTTATAAGCCTAAAGAGCTATGTTAAGCCTTTCACTAGCTATATGAAAATCCAAATAATACAAAATTATATTGGAAAAAAAAAGTTGAGTTTGTGTTTGGTTTTGAGCCATTCACAAGATCAGGCAGATTTATAGAGTCATTTCATCAGTAAGTGGCCATGAATTGACATCACTTCATTTACTCACTTTCAATATTTTAGAGAAAAAATTGAAATGTTAAAATCTGGATACACTGATAGTTCAAGAACCATTTAAGATAAAAAATGCTAAAGTGATTTTTTTCTTCATCTCAAATAATGATATATATATATATTTTTTTTTGTATTTACATTTCTT